ATGTCCTTCTATTGTGCAACTGGGATTCAGTCTCTTCCCCCCCGCTTCCCCCCCTTCTTCTTCTTCCCACAGATGTCCCATGCATCAGTCAGTGCCCTCTGTAGAGCCATAAAGCTCCAGTGTGAGCTGTACTCCACACGGCAAATTGCCATCTGTCTTGATCCCTATTGTGGCCTCGGCTTTGCACTTTGGTGTCTTTGTAGGTAAGAGTCAGGATGTAATTAGAACTGGTGGGTTTGCAGAAGATAAATTTTTGCTTGATATAAATTAGAACATCTATCTTAATCCAGTGAAATGCCTGATTGTATGAGCTTGTATGGGGATTGGATATCAAATGAAATCTAATTCACATGGCAGAACTCTTAAGCAACATGCAGTTTTATTAACTAAACGTCCAGTATTTTCCTGATGATTATTAAAACATCACAAGAGTTTTTGCACTTTTTTTACATGATTATCCTATATCCTATGTTTTGACGTTCAGTCAATCAAATCTTTATTATGGTCATAGACCAGCCTAAGGAAAATAGGCTGGTATTGACATTTTTTCCATGTCGTCAGGGAATCATTGTTATATGATCCAATCCAGTCCATGTCAGTATCTGTCACGTGTTCTACTTCATTCTATAGATTTAAACAAATAGGTGTGCAACCACTTAAGAAAACTTCCATCTCTCCCAAATGTGGGTGCAAATTGGTATATACAAGGGGTGGTGGTATACACTTACCTTCCCTACTGGTTCGCAAATATGATCCTTCTGTGCATGCACTTTTGGCAAAAAAAAAATGGCCTAAATGGGATGCCATACTGCCAGGCACAGGTAGGCAGAGCCACCTGTGATTTTACTACCAGTTTGGGTGATCCGATCTGAACCAGTAGAATACCACCTCTAGTATATACATGTTTCAAATATGTAAGCATTTATGCTTGTTTTTGAAGTGATGTTTTAAAGCTGTGAACATTAGAAATCACAAGTTGGTGTTTTTCTTAGGATATATTTCAGATTGGCAAATAACATTATTCTTGGGAGGGAAAATCCCAAGACTTTGGTGGATTTGCCTAATATCTCTAGTTGACTGTGGATCTACATTCAACAACATGTTTAATTCACTATGAATTAATTGTTGTAAACAACAAATTCACACCAATTATTGAAACTAATTATTGAAATCTTTTGTACGCATGGGATATATAGTTGGGGGAAACTATTAACAAATCAGAAATGACTTGTTTCTTGTAGCAGGACAAATAACTAGCTCAGAAACAATATTGAGATCAGTTTAATCACAAGCTTCTTTGAGAGCACATAATGATATACCTTTTAAATATCCCATGTTTGTTACACAACTGCCTTTGACAGTAGTCAGTCCGTGATTTAGGCAGTCCTAATTAAGGCAACAAATGAGAATGAATTACTAATCTATCTTGGATTGTATATTTGTGCAGAGAAGGATCAGCAGTTTGAGGCTGAGGATAATATTTTAGGCTGTCAGTTTAATAAAATCTGTCTATATTTGATTAGTGATCTTCTCTTGCAGCGTGTATTCTGGTCATCAGTCCATTTTAATTCCTCCTATGGAGTTAGAATCAAATCTTTTCCTGTGGCTCTCAACTGTAAGCCAGTATAAAATACGGGATACTTTCTGTTCCTATTCTGTCATGGATATGTGTACCAAGGGGCTTGGGAATCAGGTGGAAGTATTAAAGGTAAGAATCCTATCCCTCCACCCCCATCCTTTTAAACATTTT